CTTGTGCCAGCGTCAGGCAGTCGCACATGCATGTGCAGGGCAGAACCTCGATGCACGAACACCCACATGCACGTGCGATCCAGGTTCCTTATCTCAGTCCGCGCGAGGGCATAACTTGGCTTGATGTCTCGAGGGTGCCAGGACAGTCGCGCCGTACGTGGCGCCGTTTTTGAGCAGGAGCGCTGACCCATCGGGGTGGTGCCTCTGCCTTGGCACCCAAGCTGGGCCAGCATCGGGATCGACGAGGTCTCCCGAGCGAGCATCGAACGATGGCTGCGTGGCGAGGGGCCCGCGGCGGGGCGTCGCCGCCCGCAGCGCCCGGCAGGCATTTTGCACAGGGGGCCGGGCCACCTGCGCGCGCGTGCGGGGCCCCGCCCACCCGCGGCGGGGGGGGCTCTGTCGGCCTGCGGCCGACCCGCAGAGCTCTCTCTTGTTGGGGAGTGGTGGGTTCTCCGGACGCTCGAGATGGGCATGTACGGAAAGGATGTGGACGAGGATTGGGAAACAAAAGGTGGCATAAACATAAAAACTCTGAGGTCCGCGCGGATTTCTCGGATCGGAGCTCGGGCCCCCTGGCGGCGCCTCTGGCGGCGCCCCTGGCGCGCCCCGCGCGCCAGGGAGGGGGGTCCAGCGCCGATCCGAGAAATTCGCGCGGACCACCGGTTTTGTGTTTATGTCACTTTTTGTTCCCCTATTCCAGATGGTGTCCGAGTGCGTAGACGGGGTCGTGGGATCGCTCCGCATCGCCGATGCATCGGCGACGCGGCCCGATGTGGAGCCCGATTGCCTCCACGCCGGCGTCGCCGATGCATCACCGACGTCGAAGATGCATCGCCGATCTATGGCCAGTGACGCGTTGGCGATGGGGCGCGATCCTTCGACCCCACCTAATTAGACCCAATCAAGGAGGTCTTCGAAAGTGGGGACGATGTCCGACGGCAGTTCCTGTAAATTTTGAACAGGGTTCGCCGTGGCGTTGCCGCGGACGTTGTCCATTTGAGACAGAAGGCCGCCTGCCCGACAGCGGGCGCCGCCGGCTTAGGACAACACGTGTTGCTTGGCATCGTGCCCATGTTTGCCGTGCCAATTTCGGGAGAGTCCAAATGTTTTCGGGGGGGGGTCGAAGTCCGAGGTGTCAAGGATCGAGTGTCGAGGAGCAACGGACGAACGACCACCAATGCGGACAGCAGTCCGGGCCAACTTGAGACCGGTTGAGTGAGGCCGTGGTCTCCAAAATACTACTGTGTATAGTGAGGTACGCATGCGAGGCATATAAGCAATTATGTGAAACGGAAGGGGGGAAGAGGAGGGGGAGGAATCCTTGTTGTTGGAGTCGTCGTGTATCGGTGTATCGGTGGTGCTGTGTCGTTGTGTGGGCGTGTCGTCGTAACGACTGCACTATGGTGGTCTGTGTCCCGATCGAGGATCGAGGCGAAGGAGGAGGAGAAGGAGGAAGGGAGGGTGGGCGGAGAGAGTTTCCCTCCACTCGTCCTCCCACCTCCCTTCTCCTCCTCGATGCCTCGGTGATGCGGACGAGTTCGCGTCGAAGCGCCGATGCCCTCGAGCGCTGCCCGGGACCTGCGGGGGGAAGGGCGACCAAAAGCCAAGGGGTACCGAGAAAGACAATCAAGAAGGTTGACGGATGCTTGCAACCAAGAAGAAGGGAGAAAGAGGGGGTAATTAAGCTTCGCCAGGAAGATGCCAAATCGGTTCACCTCTCTTTGAGGGCCGCTCCCTCCTCCTCCTCCCCCCCCTCCACCTCCTTGTCGTGGGGTTGGGTGGGGTGGGGCCGGCCCGCGACTCCCTCTCTTATGTTGGGGTAGGGAGGGACGGTCGAGGCTCGAAGTTCAGGTCGGACGAACGGGTGGCGCGTTGATCGGTTCTCGTCGGTTCGTCCTCGCACCAGGGCTTCGGGACGCTTTCTGGGGTCCACTGCGCTTTTCGAGCCTCGGGTTGATCCCCAGCGGCTGCGCCTCGCCGAGGGAGCGGTCCGGGGTGCTCCGATCGTGCCGAGCGGCCGCAGGAGGCTCGAGCTGATGGTCCGACAGCCAGGCGACGAGGATCACTCGGCACGCGCGCGAGCCTCACGAGCAGGCCTGTCGGCCACATGCAGGGCGTGGGTGAGCAATCGGCCTACCAGCCGGACAGCATGGACTGTTGACACATTTGGGAGTACGGAACATGCACGAAGGGGAGGCCGGGAGGGAGGCAGAGGAGGCATAGGGAAAGGGACGGACGGAATGAGGCAGAGGACGGATAGAGAGAAAGAGGGAGGGATGGGGAAAGGGGGCGATACGAGATCTGCTGCGTGCAGCTGGCTTCGCCTCCGCCGCCGGCCGCGCCTTCTTTGAGTCATGTGCTCCGGTTGCCTGGAAAGTCGGCTAAGTACGTACATTGATTCATTACCCCCCCCGCTTTACTGACCCTCCTTTTCGTTATTGTTCGACCCGAGTTTCGAAGTTACATCGAGGAGGGAGGGAGGGAGCATGGGGGGAGGTAGCCTCCCTCCCCTCCTCCCACCTCTCCTCCCACCTCCTCCTCCTCCTCCTCCTCCTCCTCCTCCTCCTCCTCCTCCTCCTCCTCCTCCTCCTCCCCTCTGAGGTCCGAGAATGGAAGGCCTTGGTTCGAGGTTCGAGGCTCGAGGATCGAGGCTGAACGTTCCAGGACTGCGGGTCGAGGTGCGAGACTCCAGGATCTAAGTTCGAGGTGTCGCGGAGCGTGCCTTCCACGCCCCCTCCGCTTCACCCGATTCGGCCTCGGGGGGAGCTTCTCGTCGCCACGGCTGGCTCCGCCCCGAGATTCTAGCCGCTGGTGGCGGGAATCAGGGATGGAGTAGGGGGGAGGAGGAGGAGGAGGAGGAGGAGGAGGAGGAGGAGGAGGAGGAGGAGGAGGAGCAGGAGCAGGAGCAGGAGCAGGAGCAGGAGCAGGAGGAGGAGAAGGAGAAGGAGGAGGCGGACCAGAGTATACCCAGGATGCAGCAGCGATGCTGTGACCCGCCCTCCCTCCACGAGCTCCCCTCTCGGGGCGCCATACAAGCCTCTCTCGTCCCTGCCAGAAGCCCCCCCCCCTTGAACGGCGAGCACCCCCCTGTGGGCCCGTCGCTTCGGGCAGCGGCCCCGTGCCTGCAGGGAGCGGCACCGCGCATGCCTCGCGAGCTCGAACGACTGCGGCACGCGAGGATCACGAGCTTCCACGGGGTGCCCTGCGAGATCCCCGCGCTGGAAAGGAATTCCCCCCCACATCCGCGCACCTCTTGCACACGCCCACGCTGCTTTTCAACCCCGGGGAGCCTCATGTGGGGCCCCGCTCGAAACGGAACCGCCTTTCCTCCGTGCAGTCATTGGTGCATCCATGCTCGCTGCGGGCCGCTAGATTCGAAGAGGTCTCAGGCGATAGCCCAGTTTGAGCACGGAGCCGTTGCCACCTGATGCAGCTGCAAGATGTCATGACTGCGCTCCGCTGGGTGACGGCGAGGGTGTAATGCTTGAAAAGGAATCCTTCCCGCCATCACTTGCTGCACGTGTGTTCAGAAGCATGCGCGCGGCTCTAAAGGAGTGAGCCGCGTTTTGAAACGGTACCGTTCTCCATCATTGATGTTGTTACGAACGATGGAGACGATTGTGCGCGGCGCTCAGGGGAACGCAGAACGTCGAGAAACACATGATCCGACACCACTGAAGCGGCTGCAAACGCTTAACACGACAGTTGTTCGGCGTTCAGGCGAGAACCTCATTTTGAGAAATATGCATAACAGGGAGAACAGTGCCCTCAGACCTGCCCCGTGCTTGTAAGACGAATGGAATCGTCGCCACGACGAGAGCCCCATTTAAGACACGTGCAAGGCCCTGCATCTTGGTAATTAGCGCTGTTGCAAGCTTGTGCTCCATCCTTACACATGTTGCGACTGTAGAATTGAATGTGCGCAGTGCAAAGTCGAGAGCCCCATGTTGACGAGGTACCGCCCGCCATCCGTATAGCTGTCGGGAATGTTCGGCGTCCGTATCATAAATGGTGCCTACGTCTCAGACTGAACATTGGACTGAACATTTTAACCCGCCCTACCAACACGTCTGGTCGTGCGACAGGCACGAGTTAGTTACAACGGAAGGGGCGGATGGAAGAGGGGGAGGAGGAGGGATGATAAGGAGGAGGAGGACCTTTGCACGGATCAGTGATCGTCAAAGGCTTGGTGGCGTTTTTGAGTTCTTTCGGGCCTCTTGGAGTCCTCTTGTCGACACGGCTAGATCCGCGTCAGATGTATGAACACAATTCGTTTCGTGACATGTCCATAAGTCGATTTAAGATGGGAGGAAGGCAGGGAGGGATGAGGAGGAGGGTGGAGGATACGTAATAAGGAGGAGGAGGCGGCGGAGGAGCAAGGATCAGCGAGGACGAGGTGGAGGAGGGAGGAGTGAGAGTGGGACGAGGGGAAAGGAGGTGGAGGAGGAAGGAAAGGAGGAGGGAGGAGGTACAAGGGAGGAGGAGGGGGAGGAGAAGGGGGAGGAGGACAAGCAAGGAGGGGGAGAAGGAATGATGACAGACACGTCAGGAGGAGGATCGAGGGAAGAAGGGGGACGGTGGGTGGAGAAGGAGAGGAGAGGTTGACTTGAGTAAAAAGCATAACGCACTAACAATATTGCATCCTCCCCTCCCTTGCATGCCCCCTTCTTCTCACGTGTTTCCGTCCTCGCCCTCCTGCCGAGGTGACGACTCCCGCACCCTCTCCTGTTTGCGTTTCTTCCATCCCTTTTTCCTCCTACCCCCCAGTTTCGAGTTCGTCACCTTCTCAGCTCACCTCCTCCTTCTCCTCCTTGCCCCATCCTCCTGCTCCTTCTCGTCCTCCTGCTCCTCCCTCTCTTGATCTTCCACCCGCATTCCTCCTCCTCTGCCTCCGCCTCCTCCTCCTCCTCCTCCTCTCCCCCTCCCCTTCCTCCCTTTTCCCCTCCTCCATGTCCCACACCCCTCAACCTTTGCTTCCCCCCCGCTCCCCCCCATCTCCTGCACTCGGCCTTGATGAGTAGGTCCACCCTGCCAAGTCAAGGGTACCCTTCGTGTCCTGTCTTTAGAGAGGCCCGCGCCTTCTACATTCCTACGGCAGTGTAGCTCTCGGAAGGCTCTTGTCGTCCTCTCGCGTGACCTCTCCAATCGAGCCTTGTGGATGCCACGACAATGGACATCCTAACAGTCCTATCATCCTATCATTGAATTTATCATGTGCTTGAAATGTGTAAGACATGTTCTCCACATGTTTTAGACACATGGGAATTACTTGGCAGCCTGCTTCCTCTCCACTGATAGCCCTCCACAAATCAAGCCCGCCTGCATGCCTCCCTCCCCCCTCTCGACGAGGCCATCGCCCCCCGGGTTCTCCCGCGCCGCGCATGGCCAGCGTCGCTGGGCCCCCGCCCGCGGGTGCCGGTGCCGCGAGGGAGGAGCCCGCCCTCGCCGCCCTGCGTCGTCGTCGGCGTCGGCGTCGGCGACAGCGTCGTCGTCGTCGTCGCCGTCGTCGTCGTCCTCGTCGTCCTCGTCCTCGTCGGCGTCGGCGTCGGCGTCGGCCGCGGCGGCGGCGGTGTCGGCGTCGGCAACGTCTCGGCGGCGAGCGAGGGGAGTAAGGCGGATGGGTCCAGGACGAGGATGATTTCGTTCCAGAGCGTTCCGGAGCGCCCTCAGAGCGTTCCAGAACGCTCTGAGAAGGCCGAGGCGCCCGAGACATCTTCCAGAGCCGCCAGATCTCAGAGAGATGCTCGATCTATCCTTACCCGAGTTTATGCTCGTCCTGGCTTCGCCTCAGGGAGGGAGAGGGAGGAGGCCTCCTCAGAAGGCGGCGGGGCTTCTCGGAAGCCCTCCGGCCTTCCGAGGAGCTTTCTGTGTCTTCAGGGGAGGGTCCGACCATTTCTCAGAGGGCCGGAGGACTTCTGGGCCTTCTCGATTTGTTCTTACCCGATTTAATCCTCGTCCTGGCTTCGTCCGAAGGGAGAAGGAGGAGGCCGTCTCAGGAGGCGGCGGGGTTTCTCGGAAGCCCTCCGGCCTTCCGAGGAGCTTTCTGTGTCTTCGGGGGAGTATCCGACCACTTCTCAGAGGGCCAGAGGACTCCCGAGCCTTCCGGGAAAGCCCGCCTCCTCTGGCTTCCCCCACCGGGGCACGCCACCGATCGTCAGCATCCGCGCCCGCGCAGTTTGGTCGTCAACGTCGTTCGCGCCGTCCTCAGGCGCAGCGTGGCCGTCGTCGTGTCCAGCGCCACCCTCGTCGTCAGTGTCGTCGCCAGCGCCGTCGGATGGGCGAAGCGGGGGGAGGGGGAAGAAGCAACGAGGGAGGGGGGCTGAGATCTGCAAGAGAAGGGAGTGGACAACAGGTTGCACTCCCTGCATGCATCCTCGTCCTGCCCGATTCGTCGTCATCCCTCCTCCTCCCCCTCCTATCACCATTGTCGGTTTTGCTGGAGTCGTAATCCGGATCACAACCCTCAGGAGGGACAACAAAACAAACACAGACACAATTAATCGCCGGTTACCCAGAAAATATGGGAAAATATGGGAAGTGGGGGGGGGAAGACAGAAACCCAAAACATATAGGAACATATGGGGAATCTGTTTATTTGTGTGTATTTATTTGTGTGTTTGTGGGCCCCTTCAATCACTCGTTTACGGGGTGCTCGCGGCTGGCCCCCGTCTGGCCTGCGGGAGGCAGGTCTGAAGCTGCGGGCGCTCGTGCGCAGGGCCGCAGTGGCGGCGACCGAGCGCTGTGGCACTGACTACGGGTTTGTCGCTTTCCGAGGCCCAGACCATCATCCTCATCAGCATCAGCAGCAGCATCACCATCATCAGCAGCATCAGCATCATCCTCATCATCATCCTCATTCTCATCCCCCTCCTCATCCTCATCCTCTTCATCATCATCGTCATCATCATCATCCTCATCCTCATTCTCATCCTCCTTCTCATCCTCATCCTCTTCATCATCATCGTCATCATCATCATGGGCGGGCAGAGTGGGCAGGGCCAGTGGCCGAAGAGGGGATCCTCCTCCCTCCTCCTCTTCCTCCTCCTCCTCCTCCTCCTCCTCCTCCTCCTCTTCCTCCTCCTCCTCAGCCGTCAGGCCAGGGTATTTTTAAAGTCCCTGCCTCCGCGGCCAAGCGGTGCAGACTGGGCGCCGCGTGGCACCTCCTGTACGAGGTGCACCGCCGATGATGTTGCGGAGGCGGGTGCCCGCGGTTCACAGCGTCCAACCACTTTGGTTGGAATGCTACTAGCCGCGGGCATATCGCTTGCCGTGTTATGATGGGGTTTTGGCGCTGGGTACCGTTCCGTGTTGTCTTGCTGGGTAGGCCCAGCGCTTGACCAATCCCGCCCTGATGGGGCCTCCTCCCGCCCCGCCTGTTGGCTGGAGGGAAGGGGCCAGGGGGCGACCTTACCTTGCGGGTTTGCGGTCGCTGGTCCAATGCTCGGGTCCTGCCCGTTGCTTCCTATTTGTTGGTTTCCTCCCTGAAACACGGCGTTTCCGGCGCTATTGGGGGTTAGCCAATAATCGGAGGCCGGAGGACGGATTCAGTTTGCGCCTGCTTCCTCTTTATACACGTGTGCCCGTTGCTCTGCTAAAGGAAGCTATGATGCGCGGCAGGTTTGCCAGTGCACGCTCGCCGGCGCCCTGTTCGGCGTCACGTTTTACCCGCGTGGGCAAAGCGACGACTCTTCCCCCTCCTCCCTCGCTCCTCCGCCTCCTCCCCCTCCCTCGCTCCTCCTCCTCCCCCTCCTCTTTCTTCTCCTCCCCCCTCCCTCCCTCCCTCCCTCCCCTTCCTCCCTCCCTCCCTCCCTCCCCTGCCGCTGCTCCACCGGCTTAGGGTCCAGTAGCGGCCGGACAGACCCGGGGCGGCCGCTGCTGCTCCTCCCGCTCCCCCATCGGGCTGCGGCTGGTCCTCCTTCGGGAGGGCCGCCAGGCCCCCTGCCCTGGCGCCTGGGCGGGCCTGCCTTGGCAGGTCGAGCAGCTCTGCCCGACGCTCGGGCGAGGAGGAGGAGAGGGCACGAGGGGGAGCGCGATGAGGGGAGGGGGGGAACTCACGAGGGGAAGCACGAGGAGGGGAATCACGAGGAGGGGGCGAGAGGGACGAGGAGCGGGCGAGAGGAGAGAGGAGGGGACGAGGAGGGGACGAAAGGGAGGAGGGGGGAGGGGGCGAGAGGGAACACGAGGCGAAACACGAGGGGGGGGAACGCGAGCGAGGTCAAGGAGGAGGGAGGGAGGAGCAGGCGGACGGGGCGGAGGGAGGGGGAGCAGGGCGGCGGAGGCAGAGGAGGAGGGATGATGGCGCATGCTGGCCCTCCTCGCAGGGCAGCAATACGTCATGACAGCGATGCGCTACAGCTTGCCCAGCAAGCCACCCGCTTCCAGCTGTGCCGCACGGGCTGGAGACCCGAGGGCCGCCGGACATTCCAGAGTTCCTGGGACGTGTCCTCAGACACTCGCATCGTGACCCCATTGGACGCCAGCCACCCAGGGCGTCCGGAGGCCCGAGGTGGGCCATAGACGTCCAAGATGATGGATCCCCGCTCTATGTTTTCTTCCCCCTGTCGTCCTCGCCCCCCTCTCATCCTCGTCGTTTCCTGCCTTCTCCTCCGCCCTCCCTCCCTTCTCGTCGTCGTCGTCGTCGTCGTCGTCGTCGTCGTCGTCGTCGTCGTCGTCCCCCCATGCTCCCTCCTCGCTCCTGCCTCCTCGTTTTCGTCGTCGCCGTCGTCGATCCCGATTCTCCCCTCCTCGTCGCCCCCCCCCCCCCCCTCGCATGCCCGCAGGACCTCTCTGGCCAGTCGCGTGCGCACTGCCGCGGGGGTTCGGGCCTGGGGCTGGTCGCCACTCCCCAGCGAAGGCGCGCGGGGCGGGGCAGGGGGCAGGGCGTGGACTTGCAGACGAGGGGGTGGGGAGAAGAGGAAGGAGGCCGGCTGGCGAAGGTCGGCCACCAAACCGCCCCAACCCAACCCGAAGGCCCCAATGTGCCCTCCATTCCAGATGGGGGGATGTCGGGGGGCATTGGGAAAACGCATATGAGACCCCGCGGGCCCCCCCCAAAGCCCGGAATTTGGGTCTTCGGGTTGGGTTGGGGTGGTCTGGTAGGTCGTCAGAAGCGAGGGAGAGGGGAAACGGGGAGGGAGGACGGAGGAGAGATGAGGGCGCTGAGGGAGGAGGAGGAGGAGGAGGAGGAGGAGGAGGAGGAGGAGGAGGAGGAGGAGGAGGAGGAGGAGGAGGAGGAGGAGGAGGAGGAGGAGGAGGAGGAGCATCAGCAAGTGGGCGGAGGGATGCGAAGGAGGAGGAGGAGGAGGAGGACGAGGAGGAGGAGGAGGAGGAGGGGAGCGATGGGGAGCAACGAGGAGCGTCGTCAGGGTGGCTGAGAGGAGGGCACGCTGTCGCGTCCCGGCCGCATCGGCAGCCCGAGCGCCACCAGGCGACTCGGTGCCGACGCCCGTTCTGGGCGGGCGCCTCGCCGCTCAGAGTGCCAGGGAGCCGGGCGACGTCGCGTGCCTTTGGGGGGGGCGCCAAGCGGGCCGCCGCTTGGCGCACGCCAGAATTTCTTCTTCATATCCCAATCCAGCAATCCTCGCGGCCATGCCTGGTCGTGCTGCTGTCGTCGGAATAGCACGTATATCTCATTGCGGATTGCGCCGGACAGGCGATGGTGGCAGAGCTGGAAGAGCACAGCAGGTCGTGCGCGACGGCAGCGCCAGCCAGAGGCGCCCCCGGCCGAGGGGAAACGCCCAGACTTCCGTGCTACGAGAAGGAAGAGAAAAATTGCCCGCGCCGGGCGGTCCCTCGCTGCAGCAACCCTGACCTTCCAGAGAGCTATTTTTTTAGCACTGGAGGCTTTAAAACCTAAAAGACTGAGCGAAACAGGCTAAAACCATTACGTAGAATAGCTTTGGGATAGGTTTTTAAGTCGCGTGCTATTTTTTTAGCCCTCGTGAAAGGTCAGAGAAGGGCCGCCACTGGCGAGCCACGGGGCGCCAGAACCCACGGTCTGCGGATCGCCATTCGGGTCAGGCTCGCGCCCCGGGGGGCAGAGCCATCTGGAGGCCGTCTTTGCTTGCTCGTTGGTCGCGCGCGCCGCACAAGCAGCCGCCTGAGCCACTGCAGCAGCGCGCTTCCGCCGCCGCTCCAGCACGCCTGGCGCACCATGGCGCCTGCTCCGATGTCTCCGTGCGTCTGTCAACCAGCGTTTGCGCGCATGCATTCGCACAGCCGCAACCATGACCCACTGCATCGTCGTCACACCTGCACCGCTGTGCTGCCACAGCTGCGCAGCTGTTCCCTCGCGCCTGCGCCTGCGTGTCAGCTGTCCTCTGCGCCATTGCATCATCGAGCCTGGGGCCCTGTTCCCTCCATTGTAGCACACATGCTGTCCAACTGCCACGGCTGCCTTCCGGGCAGGGCGTGCCGCTGCCCCAGCCTCATAACAAAGAGGCCCACCGCCTCGAATTATGTTGCATCCATTACTAGCCCGCTGCGATGTGTTATTGTTGGTTTGCTTCGCCTCCACGTGATGATAGGCCATCTTCGACTCCCTTCGGGTCAGGGACATGCAGTCAGCCGTTCATGGGCCCGAGCAAAGATGCGACACGCATGCTTCCTCAGTCACCTTGCTGCTATCCCCGCTCGCGGTCCGTCCCGCGAATTGGATGAAACGACAGGGAGTAGGAGGACGTGAAAGTGGGGGAGGGACATAGAAAAATGTTGAAGCGAGGCTAACGGAGGAAGGCGGCAATACGGCGCTGGCTGAGCTGTTGTCGATGCCCCTGGCTCACACTTGAACCGAAACACGCGCGACGGTTCTAGCCACAATGTCGCAATCGTCACACTCGCATCATAAGCTTCATCACTACGATCATCATCAGCATCATCACCATGATCATCATCATTATCATCATTATCATCATCATCATCATCATCATCATCATCACGGCCACGTCGGCCTCCGACTTTGTTTCTGTTACCGTCGCCTCCTGTCAAGCCGTATGCATGTTCGCCGTGGTGAACATGAATATGGCGGCACTGGATGGTGATGGCGGCCGCGCTGGTCGTGATGGTTCTCAGGATGTTGATGAGGGCGGTCCTGCTGACAGTGCTGATAATGATGGTAGTGATGGAGACGATGGCGAAGGTGACGCTGACTATGGTGGTGGAACCAGGGACGGACAGGAAAGGACACGAACGTCATCTGACGAATTCTCGCTGCGGCCGACCGCGGTCGACGCGGGAACGACCACCGAGGTGCCCTCGACCGCCCCCAAGGCGCGCTCCACGGCGACCGACCGCGGCCGATATCCACGAATTGGTCGCGGCTGGCTGTCGGGGAGAGTACGTGTTCACGCGTCCAAGAGGCGTCCACGATGGCACAGGAGGGCGCTCAGACGGCATAGTATGGCCCCATGAAGTTCTCAAGCCAATATTGTTCTTCTCCATTGTTGCTTGTGCACTTCGTTTTGCGAAGGTCTTAGGCCGGTGCCGCCGACCCTGCGTCGGGACGTCGGCGGCGGCGGCGACGACAACGCTGACGGGTTTCTTTGGAACGCTCTCGGGGGCCTGTGTGGGGGGCAGATTTGGAGCCTCCTGCGAGCCACTTGGGGGCCTATCGGGAGCATCTTGGGGGCCTCTTGGAGACCTCTTGGGGTTTCCCGGGGGCATCTGGGGGGCCTTTTGGGTACCTTCGGGGGCGGAAAAGATTGGGGTGATGACTAGGGGGGGGTGAATATCATGGCGGGGCCCATGATATTTCCTCAGATTTCATGGCGCCTCTTCTTATTTCATTACGTCCCTGTTCCCCCCGCTGGGCCGCGCACGTGCCGCCGGTCATGATTTGCACCCCCCCCCTCTTGGACGCCCCCCTCTTTGCCGCTCCCGATACCTTGGGGTCCTGTTGGGGCATCCGGCCAGCCTCCCTGAGCCGAGGGCTCAAAATGTCTGCTCGGGTCCCCCGTCTGGGCGCCCTCTTGGAGCCGTCCTGGGAGCCTCTTGGGCCGTCTTTGAAGCTTATCGGGCTGTCTTGGAACCCTCTGAGGTCGTTTTGGGGCCCTCTTCGGGGCCTCTTGGGCAGTGTTGGGGCGATCTTGGGGGCCTCTTAGGCCGTCTTGGAGCGTCGGGAAGCCGAATTAACCAGAACGCCAGAACTTGTCAAAAACCAATGGGAAATCCATGACTGTTTGCTTCTTGCGGCCCTCTTGGGAGTGTCCATGGAGGCCTCTTGTGGCGTCTTGGAGGCCTCTTAGCTCTTCTGGAGGCTGTCCTGAGCGTCTTGGACCGATCCTTCGGCGAGTCGGGGCCCTCTTGGACCGTCTTGGGGGTCTCTTGGGGCACTCGTGGCCCGTCGTGAGGCTTGCTGGACTCCGGGGATAGTTTTCTGACCCCCCCCAGACCTTTATGGGGGACCAACAAAAAAGCGTCTGTGGGGAAAAAACACAAAACAACATTGTGGGAAAACACACACAGTGTGTGTGTGTGAATGTGTGTGTGTTCTTCCCCCCGCACACACACACTGTGTTTTTTGTGTTGTGTTTTGTTTTGTGTGTGGGTGTTTTTTTTTTCCCCACATTGCGTGTGTGTGTGTGTGTGTGTGTTTTCCCCACAGTGTGTGTCTGTGTGTGCGTGTGCGTGTGCGTGTGCGTGTGCGCGTGCGTGTGCGCGTGCGCGTGCGCGTGCGCGTGCGCGTGCGCGTGCGCGTGCGCGTGCGCGTGCGCGTGCGCGTGCGTGCGCGCGTGTGTGTGTGTGTGTGTGTGTGTATATATATATATATATATATATATGTGCGTGCGTGCGTGCGTGTGTGTGTGTGTGAGTGTGTGTGTGTGTGTTTTCCCACATGTGTGTGTTTTTGGGGACCACCCTCCCGCCGCGGGAAGGAATCAAAGACAAGGATCTTGCGACGCCGCTCAATTTCATGTTGGGCAGCGTCGGTGGCTGCGGCGGCGGCGACGACGACGATGACAGCGGCGACGACGGCAATGACGACGAGTCACGCGAAAGAGCGTTTCGCACGCGCCGACAAGGTCGGCGGATTTGTTGTTCTTCGTATCTGTGGGTACGTGCTCCTAAGTGCGCCTGTTTGCCCACATGAAATATTCACTTCGCCCTCGAAGGCAATGAAGGAATCCCCACGTAGCGCAGATTCCAGACCGTGGTGACCCACGCCCGTCCGTGGCATCTCTTCACCTTGCGAGAATCACCGAGCGCGTTCCATTGCTCGCAAAGTGCCTACTCGCAAACGTCCGAACAAGCACATGTCTGCTTGGATGTAATTGTTCGTAGATCCCCCGCGGCGGATCCAGGCCATTTGCGAGTAGTCACTTTGCGAGTAGTGGAGCGCGCTCGTCTAGAGAAGGCCCCAGGTGCGACAAGATGGCCCAGAGGCAACAAAAGCGGGCGAAGGGCTTAAGATAGCCGATGACGACCGCCAATTCGTTCCCAAGAGTGTCGCAGGGGGTCGCTCCATGGATGGTGTTTCGGGTTTTTCGTCGTTCTCGGAACCAGGGGGGGTCTTACGACGGAATCGTTTTGAGGTCAGGCTTAGGAGGCCCCCAGAGGCCATGGGAGCGTATCGAGAGGCCCCAAGAGGCAACCCCAGAGGCGGCAGTGACAGTCCCAAGAGGACCCCATCAGAGCCCCAAGAGGTTCTAGAGGCGTCGAAGGAGGCATGGCGACGGCCTGATATACATTCGCAGCAGGCCCAGTTCCCAATGCAGCTTCAGCTTGGTACCTGCGCAGCTTTCACACGCATCCCTGAAGCTCTCCGTGGTCTGCCTCGAGGCACTCTTCGTGATGTTCCTTTTGAGTCGTGAGAGGAGCCACTCTGGGGGGGCCCGGGGGGGCGGAAAACCCGCCAGGCGAGGAGAAGGAGGAGGAGGAGGAGGAGGAGGAGCGAGGAGGAGCGAGGGGGAGGAGCGAGGAGGAGGAGGAGGAGGAGGAGGAGCGAGTCTGTCATCCATGTTGTTCGCAGCCAGTGCACGTGCTGGGCTAGGGCCCCAGCGCGCGCGACGCGCGCTCGTGGTTCTAGTCTTCGATCTACTATGGCTTGCTGGCACGAGTTCCAAACGCTGCTTGTTTGGTTGTGTCCTGTCCCAAGCTGCGCTCCCGAGGCCTCCAGAAACAACTCGTGGCGATCTCGGGAAGCGCCCAAGAGCGCCTGGAATTCCGGGGTGTGTTCCTTTAAATGAGTTTTGACGATCTCTGATGCAGAGAATCCGAAGGGCCTTGCGGACACGGCATTCAGTGTCTATGGCACGGGAGCGGGTCGCAATTGAACTCCCACGCGCAGATCTTTTCACCAAGGCACCGTAGTCCCATCACGGTCGCCCCTGCAGCCTGGGATGTGTTCATTCACGGTTTACGGGGAAGATTCCGTGCGTTCTCAGGGAGGGGTTGGAATTTGAGCGCGCGCGATGCGTGCTTGCGCGCATCCACAGCGCCTTTCCATTACTTCATGTTTCCACTTGGACCGTCCAGGATGCTTTCCTTTCTGGCAAAGCCAGACGATGACAGGACGACGACGATGACGAGGACTACTCATACCGTCGACGTCGCGTTTAGTCCGCGGCGCAGGGCCAAAGACCTCATTCCGTGGGCACTTGCTCCGCCCCGAGCTACATTTCTTAGATGCCTGGGGGCACGACGACGGCCCCCTCGCGAGATGTCGAAAAAACGACCACGTGGTTGGTCTGGCACCGAAGCATCACAGCACCATGCCGAAGGAGAAGCAACAACATACCACGCAGGAGCCCTCGACGCTCCGCGCGGATGTCTGGGATCTGCGCTAGCCCCCCCTGGCGGCGTCTCGGCTCAGATCCAAGAAACCCGCGCAGAGCGCCAACAGTAACTGCTTATATTCTAGATTTCGTAATAAAGGGAGGGGGGTCTCAATTCGGGGGGGGGGTCTCTTCCAGGCTATCTTGGAGGGCCTGGGGGGTCTGGGACGATGTTTTGGAGGGTTCTCCCACGGACGAGGTCTGAAATGGCTTGTCTTGGAGGGTCCAGACCCCCTCCCTTTTATTACGGAAGCTGGAGTACCATTGTTTCTTCCTCTGTCATTGGCAGGAAGTTCTGGCAGCCACGGCGCGACGCAGAGGGATGATGGGAGGCCGTTCGCGAAGTCCTTCGCGTGGGCCGACGTCTCCTTCTCGGACGACAGCTGCGCGGAGGAGGAGCCCCGCAGAGCGGGGGGGTGGCGCTGCATAGGCTGGTGGGGGGGAGGGAGGCAAGACGAAGCCAGACTGGATACAACATCGGGTGAGGATAACAGGGGAATCTCTGAGATCCGGCGGCTGCGGAAGATGTATCGGGCGCCGCGGCCTTCCCAGAGAGCTCCAGAACGCTCTGGAACGGAAATTCTCGTCCTAGCCCCGCCCGAGGAGGAGGAGGAGGAGGAGGAGGAGGGGGAGAAGGAGGACCCGAGTAAACGTAGGCGGCATTCTCGATGCTGCAAACCGCGCTCCCACTCTCAGGAGGGAAAAAAACACAGACACAATTCATCGTCGACTCCCAGAACATATGGGAAAATATGGGGGACGTGGGGGGCGAGACAAAAACACAGAACATATGAGACAATATGGGGGGAATATTTTTATTTGCGTGTACTTCTTTGTGTGTGTCCCAGGGCCCCTTCACGCCCATCTCCTCTCAGACCGACCCGATGCGGCCTCACCCTTGAGAAACACCGGCGCCCCAGGGCCCTGCCGCTCCGGCGATGGCCCCGTGCAGACACGGAGCCGGCCTCGATCCTCGCAGCATTCGGGACTGCCAGGCCAAGCTTCGCTTTGAGGCGGAGCTGCCGCTTTGACGATTCAGTCGGGGCGCTGAGGAAGGAACCCTTTTCGTTGGGGAGGGGCTCGGTGTTCCTGATTTGTTCTGTAGTACGCCTTTGGTTTTGCTTGGGGCTTCGATGGGAAATCGAAGTTTAACTCATGGGAAAACGGGGCCTCGTTCCTTATTTAGGGTTCCTTACGTCGACGCCCCGACTGTAGCCCTGTGTAGAAAAGGAGCTGGCCTCGATCCTCGCAGCATTCGGGACTGCCAGGCCAAGCTTCCCTTTGAGAAGGAGCTGCCCTTTACTGTCTCAGGGCTCGTTTCGATGCCTCATATTCGATTCGGTTCGACGTCGACGGCTTCCGATTCCGATTCGATTCGACTTCGGATTCCGATTCTGGCTCCGATTCTTTCCTGGAGGCATACTAGCCTGCCGATTTCCGCCGATTCGGCTTTCCCCGACTCGGCTGCTGATTTCCGCCGATCCGACTCATTTCGATCGCCGATCCGACTCATCGATTCGATTCTGGGCTCTCCTGATGTCTCAGACAGCTTCTCCGGGCTTGAGAGCAACAGGATCCGAGAACATCTCAAGCGCTAGGCACGCTTCGAAAAAGGAGCAAGCCCCCATCCTGGCACGACGAAGTTCAGTGCCCATGTTTGACGAAGCACTGCGCGGGAGCCCCAATTTGACAGGAGGGAACAAAAACACAGACAAAATGAATCCTCGATTCCCCAGAAAATATTGGAAAATATGGAAAGTGGGAGGGAAGACAAAATCCCAGAAAATATAGGAAAAGATGGGGAATATTTGTATTTGTGTGTATTTATTTGTGTGTCCCAGGGCCCCTTCCATTTGACACGGAGTGGTTTTCGCACACCCGCGCTGGGAATGCTCGAGCGATTGCACGCGCAGCCAAGGCGAGAGCCACAGGAGCCATGACGAACCAAGGGTTCGGTTGTGCGGACATCCGCGCGTCAGCGCCCTCGAAAGGCCGCGCGTGAGGCCGCGAGTAAGCGCCCTCTTGTCCACGAGGCGCGCCACGCTCACGGCCCGCGCACCCCGCGGCCGTAGGCCGCCATGTTTCTCTCGCGTAACACCCGTTTGTGTTCGTCGCGTTCCCAGACCCCCGGTGTACTCTTCACCATGTCGACCCCCAGAGGTCTCGACCCACTCCCCGGGACCGGTGTTCATCCTGAGTAGTTTTGATGGCGGTCCTCGGCCCAGGCGAGGGCCTCCTGAGGCAGAAGATAGCCAAAAACCGTCCGTCGTGATGTTTGTTGGTTTCCACTGTGGCGTTCCTTATGGTAGCGCGACGACCGCATGTTCAAAACCAATTCCGCCCTGGGTCAGCCCGCACTCTCTGCTTCTAACCCTCACTTTGAGCGCCCCCCAGCTTAGATGCCTACGCACCATCGTAGCATGCATAGGCATGGCCATGTAGATGCCTGGGCATGCCACTGCTGATGCCTAGTCATCCGCATGGGCATGCCTGCGCATGCATTGAGCAATGCGCTATGGACTTAGCTTGACGTTGTTGGGCGTAGCAGAATACCCAGGCATTGACCTGGTGATGCCTCCGCATTGAACTGGCGATGCCAAGACATCGGCAGGACGGTGCGAAGGATACGGTAGGTTCGTGTCGCGACGACCGACGGCGACCCCGCCGCCAGCGTTCAACGTTGAACGCCGCCAGCGATCCAGAATCGGCCGATGCGACGTTTCGGAATCGGCCGATCGTTCAGGGTTGAACCATCCCCACGGTGTCGGGAACCAACGCCACGGTCGACACGACACGAACCCGCGGTAGGCATCGACGGCTCCAGGCACCAGAGCCCAGGGGGGCCGTGCCAACCTCCGCCCTTGTGCCCGCTTGAGAAGAGGTACCGGCGGCCGAGGTGCGCAGCGGTCGACCGCGAGGGCCACGTCCTTCGGTATATAGCATGCCATAGGAGCCCTGCACACGGCCCTGGCATCGCTCGGGCGTGTGCGGCTTTGCTCGGCGAGGACCATCGGGGAGCACCTGGGCCCGTGTTGCGAACAGAAAGGCACGCGCGACATCGACAAGAAGTGCACAGGGAGCGGACGCCCGAGCGATGGGGAGCGGCAGGTTCACGTCGTATCGACCGCCGACGACCTCGCCGCTGGCCTTCGACGTTAGGCGCCGCCGGCGACCCACAAGAAACGGTCGATGTGGAACGATCTGACGTGTCGGCAACGGTTGATCGTTCATGGTTGAAGGATTCCCGCAGCGGCAGGTCGGGCTACGCAAGCTCCTCTCCAAGGCTTCTGGTCAGGCACCCCCGCAGCGACTTGCCAGTCCTTCGAAGCTCCCTCGAAGCTCTTTGGAAGCTCGCTTCTATACTCCTCGAAGCTCCCTCGAAGCTCCTCGAAGCTCCTCGAAGCTCCCTCGAAGCTCCTCGAAGCTCCTCGAAGCTCCCTCGAAGCTCATCGAAGCTCGCCATCAGAGACCAACGCCGAAGTCTTCACGACACGAGCCTGCCGCACCCTCGCGATTCCGTCTTTCGGGTGCCTGCGCGTCGACTGGCGCCTGGTAGCCGTTGCGACAGCGCCCGCTTCGGGTATAGCCAGGACCCCAGGCAGGGGGACCCGGTTAGAAGTGGGGCCCTGGAGCCCCTGAATAGGCCAGACTCACTAAACCAGGTCTGCCGTACATGGTGTTTTTCGGTTGACGGCAGCTCCGGTCAGTGGAACTGGGCGGGAGGGGCGTCCCCCAGTACACATCGCTAAACCAGGTCCCACGAAACCCAGCTCTGCCAACGCCCGACTGTTTAGCGCCGATTAGCGCCGATGGGCGTCGATGGGCGTCGCTTCGCCAGGGCCGGCCAGATGTCGGGGGCGGCAAAAGAGGGGGGTGATGACTAGGGGGGTGTGGATATCATGGTGGTGGCCATGATACTTCCCCAGATTTTACGGCGCCTCGTCTTGTTTCATTACGTCCCTGGCCCCCCCGCTGGGCCGCGCACATGCCGCTGGTCATGATTTGCACCCCCCCCTCTTGGACACCCCCCTCTTGGCCGCTCCCGAAGATGGTAACGGGAGGCTCCCGTGAGTTGCCACCGAGACGTCCTCGGGCGGCCGCCTGGCCCGCCGGGCCGTGCAGCTGCCGGGGCACTGCCGGGCCCAGTGCGCGCGAGCCTGTCCCGCGTCCGTGCCGTTGCGCCGGCCCCCTGTCCCCACCTTAGCATCGCTCGGACGTGTGCATGTTTCCTTCGGCGAGGACCATCGAGGAGCATCCTTGATCATTCGGCGAAAAAACCACGCACGAAACCTGACAAAAACACAGGGAATGGACGTCCGAGCGACGGCGAGGTCCCCACCCCAATCCCCATCCAGACCCCCACCATCTCAGCACTCCAGTTGGGGATATACCTCTTGAAACCCGAAGGAAACAGGCGACCCATCGGTCGCTGAAAGGAGACATGTTTGGATGCCCAGATTCCAATCTACTGTAAGCGCCTTCCTACCTCAATGATCGAGTGGCGTCGCCTTTTCCGTCCTCCTTAGGGGGCGGGCGGGCGCCCAATCTATTTTCATCGCTTTCCTATCTCATGTTCAAACCAACTTCTTCCGACCGGGGGATACCCATGCCACTACCTTTCCCTCGTGTTCGCATTGGTGGGCCTCCTGGGATGCCCTCGTCGCCACCGCTGGACTCGCCTCGAAAAGCTGGGCGCGCACCCCTGAAGGGAGGTCCAGGAAGTATCGGTATCGGTACCTTTTGGTTTCCCCAGTCGAGGATTGGGGTGACGACCAGGAGGGGGTGCAGATCATGGCCAGGGTCATAATTTCCCCGAATTTCATGGTCCCCTTTGTGTTCTTTCAATACGTCCCCTGGTCCCCACCTCGTCCGCGCACATGCCTCCGACCATGATTTGCGAACCCCATTCTTGGACACCCCCGAAGATGTGGTCCGAGTACATGGGGTCAGCGAATAGCGCCGCCTCGCCGATGCATCAGCGATGAGGCTCGATGAGGAGGCCGATCTTCTTCTCGCCAGCGGCGCCGATGGGTCGTCGAAGCATCAGCGATGCATTCGCGATGCGGCGCGGTCCACCGTCCCCGTCCACTCGGGCCTCACCTGGGAGGCCTCCAGTACCGCATCGGCGTCTCCCGAGGCGAGGTCGATCCTCGGAACAGGGATGCTACGGTGCACAGTTCTTCGGTCCTTAGAGCGCGAATTACCCTGGCGAGCGGCCCAACCATATGAAAGCGTGAGCACCGTCGTTGTACATGTCGCCTTCGGTGGATCTCCTCATGGGGCCTTGGGTGGAGCTGCCTGTGGGGCCACGTAACATGGGAAACAAGTCAGAGGATGGATGGGGGGACACAGGCGAACGGTTGTACTGGGACATTGGGTGGAGCTCCTTGTGGGGCCATGGACCATGTGAGGGGTGTGCCGACATTGGTGGGAAACCACGTGCACACGTCGCCACTCGAGCTTTCGGTGGAGCTCCCCTCGCGGGCAGCAAACGCTTGACAGGTGTGCCGTAATGTGTGGTGGGAACGCATGCGGAGGGTACCGCTTCTTCGGTTAAGCTTGTGTCGGGCCACGAAGCGTGCGAGGGGTGGGCCGACATGGGTGGCGGGGACGCGTGCGGACGGCACCACGTGAGGCCTTGGATGGAGCTCTCTATGGGGCCACGAACGTGTAAGGGGTGTGTCGACATGAGTGGCGGAGACTCATGCGGGCGGCGCCACGCGGGGCCTTGGGTGGACCTCTATGTTCGGGCGACGAAATCTATACATATCCACTGCTCCCTGACCATGCCCATCTTGAGCCCAGGAGCTGTGTATGCGTCCTCCTGGCCAAGCCAGGAGGGCGTGGCGTATACACCGCTGCGGGGTTGAGGATGGGCCTGGCCTGGGAGCAGTGGATATGTATAGATTTCGTCGCCCTATATGTGGGGCCACCAATCGTGTGAGGGGTGTGCCGACATGGGCGGCGGGGACGCATGCGGGCGGCGCCATTGGGACCTTGGGTAGAGCTCCCTATGCATGGGGCCACGAAACGTGTGAGGCTTGTGCCGACATGGGTGGCGTGGACGCATGCGGGCGGCGCCATTGGGACCGTCGGTGGAGCCCGCTGTGTGGCCACGATCCGTGCGGGGGGGGTGCCGAACTGGACATGTGGAGAACAGAGGCGGGGATGGGAGGAGGGAGGAGGGGGAGGAGGAGGTGCGACGCGGGGCGCTGTCTTTTCAAAACGAGGACCCGACACCATAGGATGGGAAAAACTAAGTATGCACCTGAAAGAGTGGCGGATTCCTTGGATCGGAGCCCGCCCCCCACCACCTCGGCGGCGCCTCCAGCGCCGCCCTTGACGCGGTCCGCGCGCGGGGGAGGGGGGTCCAGCGCGGATCCAAGAGATTCTCGCGGACCTCCGAGGCATCATTTCTATGCCATTGTTTTCACCGACCGAGGCGAGAGTTTCGATTTCAAAGCCGCCTGTGCTCCATCCGCGTTTAGTTTGTCAATTTCAACCTGTAGGGTAATGCAGAAAGCCTTCTGTGAAACGTCTGGAGCGCCCTGCCAACACCCTTCGTGGTGCGGAGACAAGGAGTTGCTCAAAATGGTCAGGGCTTCTGGAGGCCAGTTCGGACCCTGGGACTCACAACGCCCAACGCACCGCGCGATGCGCATGCGAAAGATAAGATGATGTCTAGAGCCTAAGATGGAGAGGGCCTGACGGCCGATGCCGCCGACCCTGAAGCACATCGACGACCAGTAGGAGGAGAAGGAGGAGGACGAGGAGGAGGAATAGGAGGAGGTGGAGGTAAGGAAGACGAGGGGAGGAGGGGTGGAGGAAAAGGAGGGAGAACCCTTGCTGCTTTTCCTCCTGCTCCTCCTTGTCCTCCTCCTCCTCCTCCTCTCTCCTCTTCGTTATCCTCCAGTGGCCCCCCCCGGATCCTTTGCGCGCGAGGGTGGAGGAGCTAAGGAGAAGGAGGGGGAGCTGTTGGAGTGGGGGCCCTAGTAAAGAAACAGCCACCGGTCCCCCCCCCGGGACCACCCCCCGGGAACACCCCGCGGGACCCCCCCCCCGGGCCCCCCCCCCGCCCCGGGAAGGGATCCAAGGGAAGGGCTTCGCCTTCACAACCATGTGAACAATGTTATCTGGCTAATTGGCTGAAGTGGATTGCTTCGCCTTCACTGCCATGTCCACAATGTTATGTGGCGTAGTGGCTGGAGCGGATTGCTGCAGGAGGGATGGCGGCGACCATGCGGACGAAAGCGTCTCACACACGCCGGCCGCCGACAGGGTCGGCGGATTTCCAGGGAACCCCAACAGCCCACGAGCTCCCCCCTTCGGATAACCAACAACATGTTCTCCAGGTCACCTCCTGTCCTCGTCGATTCCTCACTCTTCCGACTGCGGCCAGGACACATTGGAAATCAAGTCGACCACGAATCTGAGGATGGCGACTGCGGCAACGACGACCTCGACGACATCGACGGATGCGGCGAGGACGGCGAGAACGACGACGGCGACGTCAATTACGAATGCGACGACGATGGCGGCGACGACGATTGCGAACAACACGACGACGAGGAAACTGACATCGAATACCATGACGACAACGATTCCTCGCAGGGTCCATCCCGGCGGGCCCCCCCCGCCCAAGCAGCGCGCATGCGCGCCTGGCCGCGGGCGACGAACGGGGACGCCGGGGAACAAGCCGCCGCCGTCGGCGACGCCCAGCCGGCGGCGGCCGTGGCTAGCTGCGCCGCGGCGGGGATGCTTGAGCCTCGGCTACGACGAACACTACCACGACGGCGACGGCTGCGGCGGCGACGAGCAGATTCCGCTCAGAATCGTGCCGGGGGCCCCTCCTGGGATCCCTTTTGTGGGGTTGCTACAACTACCCTTGGCCCAAGGTGCCCTTGGGATTTCCAAGGAGGCTCCCACGACTTGCAGAGAACCCTTTACAAGCCTTCGAGGGCCCCGGGGACCCCAGGATTAAGCGAAAAACTGGGGGCTCTTGGGACGAGGGGCACCTTTTGCACCCCCCGACCTCGGCCTTCTTCCCGAGAGGTTTTCTGAAGTTAGACAGCAGATCACGGAAGTCTCCGCTCGTCCGGCGCCCAGTAGCGCGCGCACCGCGCCCAAGTTTGCCCACATGGCGCCCGATAGCGCCCAATGACGCCGTACGATGAAGATGCATCACGTCCGCTGTGCGTGATATTGGGCGCGCCACGCGCCATTGGTCACCGCCTACCAAACCACCCCAACCCAACCCAAAGGCCTCAAGTTGCCCTCCATTTCCAGTGGGGGGGGGGTCGGGGAACGTTGAAAAAATTCATGGAACCCGTACCCCCCCCAACCCGAAATTCTGGTCGAATTCGGGCCTTCGGGTTGGGTTGGGGTGGTCTGGTAGGTAGTCAATTGGGCGCCATGGGGACGACCAGGGACGTCCGTGAGTTTGCTCTCTAGCTTCAGCATCGTTCACGTTCAGAGTCCCGAGCCCCCGGGGGTTTGGATTCTCGGGGGTAGCTCCTGGTTCGTGCCTCGGGGTCCACAACGGAGTTACCCCAGACAAAAACTGCCCGAGATAACCCGGGCGTCAAACCACTCCTGAATCATCGGAGTTGGGGGTGGTCAGGGGTAACTCATGGTCCCAAGCCTGGCCCCAGATCGAAGTTGTTCGACTAGCTAACGCCTTTCCGACGACCCCCCAGCGGTGTACGGACGTCCAGGGCGTTCGGTTGGCAATGTTGGAGCTGGAGTGGCTGGGTGTTTTGTGAACGCCCGCTAGGGTTGAGGAGGAGGAGGGGAAGGAGGAGGAGTAGGAGGAGGAGAAGGAGGAGGAGGAGAAGGAGGAGGAAGAGGACGAGGAGGAGGAGGAGGAAGAGGAGGAGGAGGAGGAGGGAAAGCGGAGGTGGGAAGGAGGAGTCGACGAAGACAAATTAGTTACAAAAACATCCACTTTCGGAGCTCCGCGCGGACTCCTCGGGCCTGCGCTGGGCACCCGGGCGGTGCCTCAGACGCCGCCCCCCTGGCGCGCTCCGCGCGCCAGGGGGGGGGGGGCCGGCGCAGATCCAAGGACTCCACGCGCGGGCCGTCGAAAGTTCGGGTCCGCGCCGCCTTCTCTCTCTGATGATGATGATGATGATGATGATGATGATGATGAGGAGGAGGAGGAGGAGGAGGGAGGAGGAGGAGGAGGAGGAGGAGGGGGGGGGGAGGAGGAGGAGGAGGAGGGGGAGGAGGAGGAGGAGGAGGGGGAGGAGGAGGAGGAGGAGGAGGAGGAGGAGGAGGAGGATGAGGAGGAGGAGAAGAGGAGGAGGAGGAGGGGAGGAAGGAAGGATCGGAGCTGCCTCGAGCAGCTCGGGCGTCCGACACGCCCTCGCCGCCGGCCATCTCCCGCGGCAGGCGGGCGGCAGGCGGACGCCGTCCCGCGCGCGGGCGGCAGGACGAGGGCCCGGCCCCGCCGCTGCGCGACGACTCCTACCGGGAGGGCCCGTTGGCCTCGCTCGAGGACGGCCTGTGGCGTCGCGGCCGCCGCCGCCGCCGCCGCCGCCGTCGTCGTCGTCGTCGTCGTCGTCGTCGTCGTCGTCGTCGTCGTCGTCGGCTTTGGGCTGTGGGCCGCCGCCGGAGACGACTTCTCGACGGACCGCGGCTGGCCGCCGCGGCCGCGGCCGCGAGGGGCTCGCCCGTGGGCCTCGCTCGGAGGGCCTCTGCGGGCGGCGCCGCGCGGCCCTCCGCCGCCGCAAGCGGCCCCTCCCCGAGCCCTGACCTTCCAAGAGGGCTAAAAAAATAGCACGCGACTTAAAAACTGATCCCAAAGCTATTATACGTCTTGGTTTTAGGCTGTTTCGCTCAGTGTTTTATGTGTTTTGGCCTCCAATGCTGAAAAATAGCTCTCTAGAAGGTCAGGGAGGGCGGGGCGTCGCGCTGCTGTCCCGCCAGGCGTTTCGTTCTTGCCTAGGGCGGCGCCGCGCGGCCCTCCGCCGCCGCGAGCGGCCCCTCCCCCAGGGCGGGGCGTCGCGCTGCTGCCACGCCGGGCGCTTCGTTCTCGCTGGGTCTGCACGAACGAGCTGGGCACGGAAAGGATGGGTACAATGCCCAACGGCAGTTCCTGTTCATCTTGAGCAGGTCTCGCCGTCCGCGCCGCCGCGGCATGTGTCCATTCGAGACAGGAGGCCGCCTGCCCAACAGCGGCCGCTGTTGGTTTGGGACAACATTTGCTGTTGGGCATTGTACCCATTCTTTCCGTGCCCATTTCGGGCGTCCAAATCGGGTCGGGGCCTTGAGACGGGGGTCAATGCAAACGGGGGTCAGCCAGGGCACCGGATCCTGCAGGATCCTGCGAAGACCCCCTCTGGCTGACCCGGGTCAGCGAGCTGCTCGTGGCCGCGAGTCGGCCGCGCCTATTGGCTGACCCAGGTTTGCGAAGGCCTGCGTTGCATGTTTGTTGATCTTGCATTGCAGTCTTTTGGTTTCCTGCTGACCCGGGTCTGATTGACCCGGGTTAGCGGATCCCCGATCGGGCCTCGGGCGAGTCCGGCTTTGCAGCAGCCGCTGCGCCCGCGGGGGCCGCATCCTCCACCTGTTCGGTTGTGTGATTGTGCATCTATGTGTAGCATGCACATCCAGATAACTAAGAACTTCCGGACCTCAACTATACGCACAGACCAATATATGTATACATGTATCTTAATGTTTATGTATACGAATATATATATATATATATACATATATATATCTATATGCAGAGATGTGTGTGTGTAAGTAAAGGTGCATATATATAGCACCTACATACAAAACTACGTAAGAGTGCAGAGATGCGCAAGCGCGATGGCAATACCAACACATACGATATGAAGAGCAAGTCAACGTGTGCAGCGCGGAGCCCAGCAGCTGGAAGGCGCACGGGGCTCGCTCGCGCTGGTGCAGAGCGGGGAGGTGTCCCTGGCCCAGGGTTCGGTGGCTCAAAGATGGGGACCTGAGGGATGGGTCGGCGGCTAGGGGGGGGGGGGGGGGGGAAGTGGTAAGGAGCAGGCCCTCTCAGAAGGCGGCGGGGCTTGAGGCCAATTCGCAGAGCAGCGCTCTGCTGATGGAGGGAGGAGCAGCGAGTGCGTGTGCTCTGATTGGGGTCCGAGCGGTCCGAGAATGTGGGACCCCAGCCCCCAGAATGTAAGAGACGGGGGGTCAGGACGGAGACAAAACACAAAAAACAATATAAAAAAATGAGAGCCTGGCGAAATCCTTCCTCGCGCCGCGCGCCTCGCGGCACGGGAGAAAGAGAGAGAGAGAGAGAGCGAGAGATATATATAGAGAGAGAGAGGGCACAGACAGAGAGGGAGAGATATGAGATTCACAAATAGCAGTACACGCACTCATCGCATGCCTCGTCTGCGTTGGGCTCCAGGGCAGCTCGAGTGGCCCCCCCGGTTGCGCCCGGTGGTCTCCCGACTGTCACGTGTCCGAGCCGCGGTGGTGTTTCCTTTTCGGTCACGCGACTCTTCCTCCTAACCGTTCTTCTGCTCCTCCCCTCCCTCGTCCTCCTTCCTCCATGTGGTCCATTTCCTTTCGGGGGGCGATCTGTGGCCGCCGCCCCCGCGCGCGCACCCTGTGCCGAGTCAGCTTCTCCGTCGGGGCGGTGCGCAAAAATCGTGCCCCCAGAGGATGCCCGCTGTGTGCACAGAGCTTTCCCCACGGTTTTGCGCCAGACAACCTTGTTCGTGGTGGTGGTGTACACCAGTCGTGTACCCATCCCTCCATCTCCTCCTCCAGTTTCTTCTTCTATCTCTCCGTTTCTTCCCAGGAGTTCCCCCAGAGGCCTCCGCGCGCTTGCCTTCGCATGGGGCTCGGGAGGCCTCTGGAGGTCTGGACGGGGCCCAACAGAAAAGGTTCGATGAGGCCACCAGTGCACGAGAGGGGCTGTGGGGGTCTCGGGCAGGTGGCTTACTGGGGGTGACCTTACTGCGGGTGGCGAAATTGGCCCTACAGCTTCCCTTTCGGGCCGATGTTGTGCCCCTGTTGGCTCCAGAAGGGGCTCGTAAAGGACTCCTTTAGGCACGTTTCTTCACCACCCCATGTTGGTCACCCCCCGATACCACCCGCCCGAGCGGGGGGTCGGAGCTCAAGTCACGGGGACAGTGCAAACGGGGGTCAGCCAGGGCGCCGGATCTTGGAGGATCTTGCAGAGCAAGGGCTGCATTGATCCGGGCTTGCACGCAAGATCTTGCAGGAACTTGCAAAGACTGACTGGCCCGGGTGTGCGTTGTCCTGGGTCAGTGCGTCCTCGATGGGGGTGTCGTTGTTCTCTGCTCGTTCTTTTTCGAAGATTATTGGCTCGAGCCAATTAAACTAACGATTCTTCGACTATTAGATCCTCACGCAGCTGGTCGCTGAGCCGCCGCCATGAAGGACGGTGGCGACGCCATCGATGATGGTGGCCAGAGGTCGACATTGATGTCGCCTCTGGTCAATGCGATGATGGGGTATTCCATGTTATGCATTCTTGCGTATGCTGTGTTCTGTCATGTGGAGGATGTAGATCAGATAACTGCCATATACATCATCGTTCAGATAGTGACAACTATCGGCTATGGTGACATCACGCCAAAGCTCCCACAGACCAGGATATTTGTGATGTGCTTTGTCATCGTGACCCTGGTCGTTCTTGCGTACGTATTGAACTTGGTGGTCCAGAAGGTCACCGAACGCGAGGAAACATTTTTGATGGAGCTGGTGGAGTCGACGGGCAATATTGCGGAGGCTCAGTCGTCATTGCGAGAACAACGTGTCTCGAAAGAGCGGCGGAGGCTGTTCACCGCATCGATGTTGTTCTTCTGCGCGCTCCTGTTTGGGACATTGTTTTACGCCGCCTCCGAACCCTGCTCGTGCTCCTATGGCATGACGACAATCAAGGGCTGCAGTTCCGTCGATTACGACACATGTATTGCAACAGATGGCGAGCAGAAAACACTTGTAAACGCTATGTATTTTTCCGTTATAACTCTCACGACGGTAGGATTTGGCGACTTCACCCCGCAGACGCACCTCGGTCGATGGGTTGGTATATTCTGGATGATTTTCGGAGTTACCGCAACTGCAAATTGGATCGGAGCGATGTCGTCGTTTCTATTTGAGCGTGCGAATGATGATGATCAAAGAAGCCTCCGGCAAGCCACCGTCACCCCTTGGGACGCTGATTCACGACCAAGGGGTATTCCTGGTCCCCTCGAGGGCCCAGCGGCAGATGGCGAAGAGCCAGGAACGTGCGGGGAGGCTGGAGGCAGGCCCCAAAGGCTGAGCTCGGATCCAGACGCCCAACCAGTCAGTGTCGAATGGACAAGATACAACAACGTACCGTTTTGCAGGTCCGCGCGGATTTCTGGGATCGGCGCTGCGCCACCGCCCTCAATGGGGAGCGGAGGGGTTCTAGTGCCGTTCCGAGGAGGTCGCGCGGATGTCTCAAAGTTATTCAGCTGCTTGCGGCAAACACCGCCATTGTGATTTTGCAACGCCGTAGCAGGAAGGAGGCTGAATGTAGGAGCAGCGCAATTCCGACGAGTAGTCTACGACTTCGTCTTCGTCCGCGCGGTAGGGGGGAGGAGGAGGAGGAGGAGAAGGAGGAGGAGGAACAAGAGGAGGAGGAGGAGGAGGAGGAGGAACAAAAGGAGGAGGAGGAGGAGGAGGAGGAGGAGGAGGAGGAGAAACGAGAGAGCACGAGGATGATGAGGAGAGGGCTTCTTGGGGCCTTCGGGGGGCTTCCTGGGGGGCTCCTGGGAGCTTTGACGGTCTCTTGGGGGGGCTTCATGGGGCCTCTTGGAAGACTTTTGGGGCCTCTTGGGGGACTCGTGTGGCCTTTTGGGCCGTCTTAGGGGACTCGTGGCCAGTCTGGCGCCTATAGCGGCCGCCCGCCTTGGGGGACTCTCTAGGCCGCGTTGGTGTTTTCTTGGAGCGGTTCACGGCCGTCCTGAGAGTTTTCTTGGGAGCCTCTTGAGCGATCGTTGGGTTTTTTTGCCGATTTCGGGCCCTCTTGGGGGCGAGAACCTCACATTCCGTCAATAACCTTCTACTAGGGAATTCAAAGGTTCTGGCCTCCTCGGGCTCTCGAGGAGGGCCTCTTGGAGACCTCTTGGGCCGTCTGCGGGGATTCTTGATCTGCCTGGAGGCTGTCTTGGGGACCTCTTTAGCCGTCGTGGGCCATCTTGGCGTCACCTTGGCTGCCTTGACAGCCGTCCTGGAGGCCATGAGGCTCCCAAGAAGAAGGCCTCGAGACAGCACGAGGCCCACAAGATGGCCCAAGAGGTCTCCAATAGGCCCTCCAGGAGAGCTCGAGGAGGCCAACACCATTGATGTGCCTGCGGTATTTGGAGGATGGTGTGCGGTTCTGGCATGTTTGGGTTTCGGACCGCCCACGAGCCGCTCTGGGGCGACTTGTTGCTCATATTTGGGGTTTCAAGGTTGTCTTGGGGGCCCTCTTTGGAAGCCCCTTGGGAGATCTGTGTGTTTTCTTGGGCGACTTGGGGTCCTCTTGGGGGCCTCTCGGGTTGTCTTGGAGCTATCTTCAAGGCATATTGGAAGCATCTTTGGCCGTCTTGGATGGTCGGGGGACCGAACAGGCGAGAGCAAGAATATTCTTCAAACAGCTTTGGCAAATTATTGGTTTGGCCCATTCGGGCCGTCTTGGGAGCCTTTTGGGCCATCTTGAGGCCCTGTTGGACTATCTTGAGCGGTCTTAAGGCTGTCTTGAGAGGCTCTTGAGCTATCTTGGACCATATTGAGCCGTTTTGGTGTCGTCTTGGTTATCTTGGAAGCCGTCTTGCAGGCCATCTTGGCCGTCTGGAGGCCAAAAAGAGCGCCGGAGAGCAACTTCGGGAGGGGGCGATGTTTGAATCCCGCGCGCGGTGCAGAGGTCGGTCGGTCCCCGGAAACACCAACTAATGTTTTGAGAGGGACCACAGGCGCATTCTACTACGCCCACTCCGTGCAGGCACGGTGGCGGATGTTTCTGTCGTCTTCTATGCTCAGCACGTGGGCGCGAACAAGGGAGGGGCGGATCGAAGACGCCTCGCCTCTGCCTTCTCTGGCAGTGCATAATCGCGTGGCCCAATGTTGTCGGCCGAATCAGCTGGCGGGTCTTTTGGGGAGACGTAGCTGCCAATTTCAAGTCTGGGGGCCCACAAAGGGCGGGTGCCCTGGGGTCAACCCAAGCCTTCGTGGGGGGCCTCGGGATAGGCCCCTCTTGGGACAGTGTGTGGAGCCCTCTCAGGTTGTCCGGAGAAACCTTTTGGCCCCCTTGGGGCCGTATTGGGCCGTCCCGGGACGCCCGCAGACGGCGTGCGCGGGCCCGACAAGTGTCGAGAGCCACCTAGGAATGGTCCCAGGAGAGAGGGCCGCCGAGACGTCAAAGAGGGCACCACGGCTGGCCCAACAGGCCCAAGAGGCGGAGAACGCGCACGGCAGAGCACCTAGATTGGGTCGAAGGGTTGCGCGGAGCCCGACTTCTCCACACCGAGATCGCGAATGTATCGCCGACGTTGCGGGTGCATCGCCGATGTATCGGCGATGCGGCGCGATTCGCCGATCCCACCGGACTGCGACCGCAGGTGGGCGGCCTCCATGAGAAGCCCCAAGGCGCGCGAAGGGATGTCCAGCCTCGGTCGACAATACATATAGATATTTTCATATATGAATATATGAATATATATATATATATATATACAATTATCCGCTGCCCCATGGCCGCCCTTTTCTGTTCCGAGGAGCTATGTACACGCCCTCCTTGCCAAGCCAGGAGGGCGTGGCGTATGCACCGTTGCTGGGTTCAGGATGGGCCTGGCCGGGGAGCAGTGGGTATGTATGGGACGGGCTAGGACGAGGACTGATCCGTTACAGAGCGTTCCGGAACGCTCTGAGAATGCCGCGACGCCCGATACATCCTCCAGAACTGACGGATCTCAGAAATTCTCGATCTATTCTCGCTCGAAGTCATCCTCGTCCCTGCTCCGCCTCGATGGATCAATCTCGGCAGGAGGCAGGATAGCGGTGCATCAAGGGGGCGCGAGGCTGAGTACGAATCACAGCTCCGAGCCAGCCACTGTTTGCACACCGCGGGCGTTTGCGCACACGCTCTCGTAGCTCAGTGTCGTCGCCCTGCAGTCGGCAGGAGGCAGGCGTACGCAGTTGCAGTCGGCAGCGCGCGCCGCCGCGGTGGGCCGGCCCGGGGCGGCGCCCGGGGCGACGGAGGAGGTGGAGGAGGAGGAGGAGGAGGAGGAGGAATAGGAATAGGAGGAGGAGGAGGAGAAGGAGGAGGAGGAGGAGGAGGACTAAGAGAAGGAGGAAGAGGAGGAGGAGGAGGAGGAGGAGGAGGAGGATCGAGGGGGCTTCGAGGATGGGTAGCAGCAGCAGACGGGCTCCCGGGGCGGACGGCGGCCCGCGGTGGCTCTCCACGCGGGGTGGCCACGCATCCGCCGCGCCCGCATGCAGGCAACGCGCCCAGTGAGGACGCGCGCCCTCGTCTAGGGTACCCTTAGTGTGTCCTTGCCACTGCGGCCCGTCCTTGACCGTTTTCGCTGGTCGCCCGCCGCCCCAAGTAGCCCAACTTCGGCATCCAAGGGTCTTGCGACCTTACCACCCGTCCTTCTGAGAAGTTTTGACTGCGTATATGTATATATACACAAATTTCCATACACATATATGTATATATATATATATGTATATATCTACATATATGTTTACAACACCCTCCAATCAATTGATCCTGGGCCTCAGGGGATAATTTCGGTGTACAAATCACCACCCAGATCGAGCGGCTTTGTTCACCGCCACCCTCCCTGAAGGTACATGCAATGTTTGTCGGAGGATGTCTGTGTATCTATTTTCGTGGCGTAATGTAATCCAGTTCGATCAGTAGGTCTTGGGGAACAAACAAAGAAAGAATCATACAAGTTTCGGAGGTCCGGGCAGATTTATCAGATCGGACCTAGAGCACCCCGGTGGTTCTTCCGGTGCCGCCCCTGGCGCGCCGGAGGCGCGCCAGGAAGGGAGGTCCAGCGCCGATTCGAGAAATCCAGGCGGACCTCAGAGTGCTCATGTTTATGCCAATGTTTGTTCCTTAAATCAAGGGTGCCTTGGTGTCCTTCGTCTAGCGACCCGTGCCGTACACAGTCATGTGGTAGTGTGACCCTTGGAAGGATCTTTTGTCCTCTCGCGTGCCTTCTCCAATTAAATTCGACTGTGTATTCGGATGCGACACGTATTCGGATGCGGCGCGTATTCGGATGGTTTCTCGTTCAGGACACGTTTCACGCTATGAACTTGCCTATCGCAGGTCGGCAACGATTGGGGCAATTCAAGTGGGGGACCAAGTATTCGGATGCGGCCTGTACTCGGATGCGGCCCATATTCGGATGCGGCACGCGCACTACACGTTCAGACCACGGACTTTTGCATGAATTTGCCTGACGCAGGTCGGTCGGTTCGCGCCGAGAGCCCAGTCTGACTGACGACATTGCGATTCGCACAGCGGTTGAGGCCGAGCAGTGTGTTCTGTGGTCGCTCTCCACCCCCCCCCGCGGGGCTGGGACGAAGATGAACCCGTTCCAGAGCGTTCCAGAACGCTCTCAGAGCGTTCCGGAAGGTTCCGAGACATCCTCCAGAGCCGCCGGATCTCAGAGAGTGTCGACTCATTCTCACCCGCATGCACCCCCGTCCTGGCCTCGTCTCAGTCCTCCGCCTCTGCAGAAGACACCCACGTGGAGGGGGGTCGAGGGAGGCAGGCAAGCGGCACCCAAGGGGCCCCAGGCGGCCCCGAAAATTGACAGCGTGGGCCCACCGGGTGCACGCAGGGTGCACGTGTTTCGGGGAAACGTAAGACCCGAGTAAGCCGGAACTCGGGGTAGCCGAAGTTTTTTGACGAGCGCGTCCAGGATTTTGACGGTCTGGTTTTTGGGATGTCTGCAGCGAGAGCCCGCGTCAAATTTCAGATTGGATTTCGTCATTTTCGTAAGGCCCCCGTTAGGCCAACCCGAGTCTCCCGTACCCGGGTCTTACGTCTCCCCGAGTGTTTCCTCGCTCCATGTCTCCGCCCCCCGCTCCACGTCTCCCCCCCCGTCAACGAGCGTCGGCGGCGAGGAGAAGAGAGGAGAAGGAGAAGGCCTTCTCCGGAGGCTCGGAAGTCCCGCGGCCTTCTGAGAAGCGTTCTCAGCCTCCCCCGAAGACAAAAAAGCCTTCCATGAGGCGCGAGGGCTCCAGAGAGGCCCCGCCACCTTCTGAGATGGGCTTCTCCTCACTGCCCCCCCCTCGCTCGCCGCCGAGAACTCCCGAGGCTCCAGCAGCAGCGCTTCGCCCGAGCCCGCCGTGGCGCAGCACACGCCAACGGCGCGCGGAGGGAGGAACGCATCAGGGGCGGGTCTTCTCAGGAGGCTCAGACGGCCGTCGGCCTCCGGAGAGGCTGCTAAGGCTTCTGTGAAGACACGAGGCGTCCCTCGGAAGCCCAGCGGGCTTCTGAGAAGCTCCTCTCGCTGCCCCGCATCTGCGGTCGGCTCCAGCCTCCCAGGAGGAGACCCTCCGAGGCAGGGCACAAAGCAGAATCCTAAGCATCAGCTTTTTTGTATCCCGAGTAGGGGGCCACATGCGAACCCTACCCCTACCCCCCACGATTTCTGGGGGGGAGGGTGGGGTTCACTTCGTTCGGAAGCTCTCGAGCGAAGTGAACCCCACCCTCCCCCCCAGAAATCATGGGGGGTAGGGGCAGGGTTCGCATGTGGCCCCCTACCGAGGGCCCGCCCGGGCTTCTCTGGGGCTGGCGCTGCACTCCCCCTGGCGGCTTTGTTTTTGGGGGCGCGCCGGGGAAGGGGAGGTCCACGCCGACCCAGGAAGTCCGCGCGGGCCTCCGACCACTCGTGTGTGTGTGTATGCGGTGCTGTGCTCTCCTGCTGAAGCGAGGGCACCCTATCGGGCCGGGCGAAAGGGGGGGATTGGGAAAGGGGGGGGGTTACGACATTTGCTGCATGCAGCTGGTTTCGGCCTCACCGAGGGGCCCATTCCTCGATGCATAGCCGCCTCCGGCGCCGGGAGGCGCCGGGAAAATCAGCTACGTGAGCTGATTCTCAAACCCCCCCTTTGCTATCCCCCCCTTTTGCCCGACCCGACCCTAGTATCCCTCAGGTTTGGGCCTGTGATTATCGGGGGCGGAAAAGAGGGGGGTGATGACTAGGGGGGGGTGGAAATCATGGCGGGGGCCATGATATTTCCCCAGATCTCATGGTGCCTCTTCTTATTTCATTACGTCACTGGCCCCCCCGCGGGGCCGCTCACATGCCGCCGGTCATGATTTGCACCCCCCTCTCTTGGACACCCCCCTCTTGGCCGCTCCCGAGTTTACCAGCCTCGAACTTATCCCTATCCCTAAGATTGACACGCCAGAAGGCGATGACAATCTTAGGGACGCGCTCTCAAAAAATGAGGGAATCCCTAAGATTGGCATCGTGATGAGGATATGCCCAGCATAGGGATAGGGATATGTTCCAGGCTGGTAATGTGTTGCCTTGGAGAACGTTTCTTCCACTCCCTGGCGATAGCGTGCTTTTGCCCAGGGGGGGAGACGGGGGGGGGAGGCCGGTAACGTCACGTTTCGCGCCGGAGACGCTTGGGATTGTTGAGGAATAACAAAGGACAGTTCAGAGGTCATCCGATTGTGACCTTACCTGGAAAGGGGGGGGGGCGACTGTGCATTGCTCGAACCAGTGCATTCTTTCCTCGACGAGGCCCCTGGAGGAGCATCCTGCGAACAAAATGAACGCACGAGGTCCAGCACTCTACACTGGGAATGGACCTCCGAGCCATTGCGAGTGGTCCTGACTGCACAGCCGGCGCCCCCCTTCCAGGTAAGGTCACAATCGGCTGACCTCTGAATTGTCCTTTGTTATTCCTGAACAATCCCAAGCGGCTCCAGCGCGAAACGTGACGTTGCCGGCCTCCCCCCCGTGGACCCTTGGGACGACGAGTCAAGGGAGGAAGAGCTAGCCAGTTGGAGCTGGCTGGCGGTCTGGGGTGGCCCAGCAGTGGTTCCAGCGAGCAGTGAGATCGGGCAGGCTCGAGACGCTGGGTTCGGGAAGGTCTTCTGATTGCTTCGACCTCCAGGGGCTGCGCTTTCCGGTCCCAGGACTGTCGAAAACCGATCCGCGGAGACCAATTTCATCCAACTGATCCCAGGAGGGGTCCAGGGACCGATTTTGAGTTGAGTTCGCATCA